TTTTTACACTTGTCAGTTCACAAGGAAACAGGTGGTATGTCACATTTTTATTATTATATAGAGATGTTGAGGATTGACATGATCAGAGTTCTTTTTCATGAAAAGAACTGGAAGTAAGCTCATTTGGGATGCAGAACACAAATTCACAGTGAATCTTAATGAAACCAGGCTTAAGAAGATTTTTCAGACAAGGCGAGGGATCCTTGTTGGATATTACTTCAGAGCTGGTGCTAAGAAGGAAGGATTTAGAGAGATTATGTTGTGCAAGTGGTAAGAAAGGGGACGAAGGAAACAAAAGGGGATGACTCTACATGAACAGTGGTTAAGAGCAACAAGATCCAGAAAGTGAATTAAAATCATTTCAGAATGCACAGAAATAAAACATTAGGTCTCTCTGGCTAGAAAGAACAGTCATAACTCAATTACACAAGTACTGTTAAGCAGAGAGTTTCAAAGTGGGGGCATTGTGGTGAACCATGCTTAGCATTGTAAGAGCAATTCATAATAGACTCATTAGGGGAGATCTCACGGGGGGAAAAAGAGGAGATGCTGTGGTCAGAATAGCATCTGGCTTCAGGGTGGCAGAAAGCAGTGATTCACTAATGCAGACAAGGAGCGGTCTGTGTGAAGAAAGGGATATGGCATTCTTAGCCACGGGAAAGACCACAACAGAGAGAAGCATGGTGAAGGATGCTCCACGAACACTCTAAATGAAAAGAGCAAAGAGCTTGAGACGAAAGCTGTCAGGCCTTTCCAAGGGGTCTCCGATGGGTCTTAGAAGTGTGTGTTGTAGGAGGGGCATGTGGTGGTGACAGCAATCCATCCTAAATGCTTAAAACCTTAGGAAGACAAAATATTACAAAGTATTATAAGACAAAATATTTGTATCACAAGCATATGATTTTAACTGTGATGGTATTTTATTCCCTAAATTACTTTGAAGTGCTTACAGGATTCTTTGTTTATGGTTTGTTTTTAAACCTGAAGGTTGTTATATTAGCAGTTTTCCTAGCCTCTGCTTTAATTGGCCTATGTGACCAGAGGTTTCAGAGGAATTGTGCAGGCTGGCTTGATCTGAAGGAGAAAGGGAGAGAATGAGCAGATCTATGCGGCAACCCTGTCTGCTTTGTAGCAATCATGTGGAATTCTTATGGTGGGGAGAAATACAATGGCAGTGACAGTCATTAGAAATCTGGCTAGCTCCAACTTGAAGGAAGGCCTGACAAGAGTAGCTTTGTGGTTTGAGCCATAGTTTCATTATGAAATTCTCAAAAGGAAGACTAAGATTCATGTACAAAAGGAGTAACTCAAGCCTGTGTATTGGAGAGATTTTCTAAAGGCAACTGCCCTTTTGTTTCTATCATGGATTCTGGTCAATGCATTATGAATCATAGATCATACATGCTTGTGTTCATACCGGGACTACATTACCTCAGAAATCAGAACTACTGACTTGGGGAGAGGAGGAAGCTGCCTCTCCAGGGTCCTGAATAAGGGTTCAGAGTGGTTTGGGAGCTGTTCCGTGGATTGTTGGAAGGGGGCACATTAGGAGTTCAAACATTTATATCAGCTGTGCTGTGAAATCCATGTGTATTTCAGCACACTTAAGTCAATCCAAAGGTTAATGTTATGATTTTTAAACGTCATAGAAACTGGTAATTCTCATTGAGCTGATCAGTAACCCTTTTCTTTTTTATTTAGAAGAACAGGTTTATTAATAGGAAAAAGAACAGGTGTGATTTGTTATTTATTCATACTATTTCTCTAATGTGGTCAATATTTTCATGTATTAAATCTAATTTATCCTTCTAAATATGATAATGTACTTTGCAGAGTAGAGCAAAGTCCCCAACAGTCAAGGCCATGGGTGTGTGATCCCTGCGTCTTTGCTAGTGTGATGGCTCCCTTCCTTTTCTCTATCTTTTGAAAACAAACGGCAATGATAAACCCATCAGATTGTCTTTAACAATAACTCAGAGTGTTTTTAAAAGACATTTCCAAATGGATTCATAAAATTTAAGTGTCTTTTTCTTCCTTCAAGTGGAAGTGGTAGGTGGAAGTGACAATGTCAGAGGAGCCACAGAGACTGACGCTGGGAGCCTCCCACACTGCCCAGTCAATGGCCGCTAACTACTGATGGGACTTTTCTTCTGAGGGAATCATTTCTTGGGTGCATACCCTTTGTGGCCATTTTTGATTATAGTATTAGGGCTAATAAAGCCGTTGGATTTCTGAAAGAAGGAAAGTATCTTTTTATAAAATATTCTTGATTTTATAGTACAATGAAACTAACACAGAGACACCAAAATAAACTAAATCAAACTTTAGTTGACTCTTTAGCTGGCTACAAGAGTTTTTAGGAATAAAACTAAATTAGATACAAATGAAAAGTTATATAAGTGTGAAAGAGTCAAAACTAAGTTGATACAATGGGAAAAATGTGATATGCGTAAAACAAGATCCAAAAGATTGTTAAGTCTTTCTACCAGAACAGGATGGATTTAGTGGTACAGTGTAGACATTTCAATAATTTTTCTCTCATATTAAGTGTCTAAATCAACATTAAGATGACTTGAGAGCCAGGTAGGATGGTGCATGCCTGTAATCCCAGTGACTCAGGAGGCTGAGGCAGGAGGATAACAAATTCAAGGCTAGTCTTAGCAATTTAGACCTTAAGCAACTTAGTGAGACCCTGTCTAAAAATTAAAAATAAAGAAGGATGTGGCTCAGTGGTAAAGTGCCCCTGGGTTTAACCTCTAGTATCCCCTCCCCCTGCCAAATGACTTGAGATTTAAGATTCTAGATTAACTCTTAAGGAATTTACAGTCTTTGTTTATCTTAAGATCTGTAAAATCTTTACAGCTTCTGATCATAGTGTCAGACTTTTTCACTGCTTGTTCTTTAACATCACAATTAAATTATAGATATTCTAGGTTTTTGAAAGCATCAGAATCAGGCATAGTCATGACCATGACGTCTCTTCATTTGCCATTGTGCACAATGGATACCATAGAATGTCTGCCTCATGGAATTAAATTATTAAAAAGCATGCAATGCAAACTGGCTACTGCAGTGGCCGAATTAAAATGGTGCTCTGAGTTACAGCTGTGCTATAAAGACTGTGGCACGATTGCTAGTAATAACAGATCCAGTGCTGGGATCTGTATCCATTCATACCTAAGAATGTGATAAAATACATTTTCTGTGTGACACATGATGCTTATTTTTATACCGCTTAGACTAGAAAAAGTGGCAAAATTCTCTTGCTGTCAAAGATGAGACCATGAAAATAGGAATGAAAGCATCAGTTTGTGGGTGAACTTGAATTCTCATAATATGGAACCACATGTCCTTGCTGGCAGGGTAGAACCAACATAAAAAGTGTGGGCTTGTAGTTGAGCGATATGCACTTGGCTTTGATATGCACTTGGCTTTGATGTGCACTTGGCTTTTTCTGTGCTCTGGTTATTTCCCTATGACATTGAGGTAACTCTCTGAATGATGCTTACATGTACATTTCTTCTGTAAATCTGAAAAAAGCTGGTGGGAGGACTTGCAAGGATCTTTGTCATTGCTAACTCTGAGTGCTGTTCAAATGTGACAATGTTTGTATCTTTCTCAGTGAGTAAAGAAAATTAGTTTAACTTCTTTGTAAACTATCTTTTCAAACTCAAATTATTTAACGACTTAGACAATTTTGACATTATAGTCCAGGATGTTTAATTGCATAAAAACTAAGTTTTGAGAGTTTGAGTTTGTCAGGAAGAAAACTGTCATGATTTTCAGTTCTCCTCCTGTGATTACTGAAGAATATAATGAACAGTTTTCTGTTGCAAAAGAAAAAAAATCAAATATGGGCACACACTGTCAGATATGTTTATAGGGAGCCTCAGCTCTGTGGAGTTGAGAGACGTGCTCTGCTGAGGAACTGGCTACAGCCTGCTCTCTCATTCATCAGGCATCTTCCTTTCTCCTGATCAGTACAGGGCTCTCTGAAGAACAGCGTGGGCTGATTGCTTTTTGTGACACTCCCCACTTCATTTTTCTTTTTCTGTACTATAGATGGCATTCATTTCATTTTTTTCCCATAGAAAAACATCAAGTTATATTTATATACTGTTATTTCTGTTACAGTTAATAACTAAGGGCTTGAAGCAAACAAGAAATTATTTGGCATGAAATATGAGGCAACCTTTCATAATTACAACAGCACAGAAGACCTACATGATGGAGACTGATGGAAAGCTATGCACATAAAACATTTAGGCACATACATCAAATTTCCAGAAAGTTAGATTTCTTTTTCTGAAAAATTCTATCACTGTATTAAACCTGTTACATATAGGTTTCAGGTGAGATTCTAACTTACATTTCAAGCAGGTAAATAGTGATACACATCTCCCTTACCTTCTTTCTTTGGGTCCTCACTTCTACACTACCATCAAGATCAATCTGTGCCTACACAGGATTATTAGCTAACCAGGATAGCCTCTGTCTGCAGAGAGTCTTTCGGTTGTGAAAGAATCAATAAACATGTCATTATTGATTTCTCATCTAGTACCCTGTATGTGAATGATGCAGTTGGGGATACAAAAGAAATTGAAGCATGGTTCATCTTACAGGGGTTTAAGATTAATCTTGCTGAGGGAGAAAATTATGAAATCACTGCTATTCTAACATTTTTGATTTATGAAAATGGTACCTTCATATAATTCAAAGTAGTGATTGTGCATGACAAAACAGTATGTAATCAGATCTCAAATGATGGGGTGTAAACTACAAGTACTACCCAGGCAAGTATTCTTTGTGAAGTGTATAAGGGGGCCTGAATTTATCAGAGAACATTGTGTGGATGGATTGTGTTGGGAGAGGTGAAGAGCTCTAGTGCAGGCAATCCCAGCAAGATGAAGCTCTGAAGGTGGGATGATAGATTTCACATGGAAGGATCTGGCTGCTGGGCTGGGAAAGAGTGGGGCCTGGAAGAGGGCGGAGCTGCCGGTGTCAGTTGGTCCAGGTGTCCCGGCCTGAGACATCCTCCTGATCCCACCCCCTCCCAGCGCCTCAAACGGAAGATCATTCATCAAGAATTTTACATCGAAAATCTAAAAGTTTTTTACCCAAGATGATGAGTGCTGATATGGATGCAGTTGATGCTAAAAATCAGGTGGAACTTGAAGAAAAAACACGACTTATTAATCAAGTGTTGGAACTTCGACACACACTTGAAGATCTCTCTGCAAGAGTAGATGCAGTTAAAGAAGAAAATCTGAAGCTAAAATCAGAAAACCAAGTTCTTGGACAATATATAGAAAACCTCATGTCTGCTTCTAGTGTTTTTCAAACAACTGACACAAAAAGCAAAAGAAAGTAAGGGATTGGTTTCCCTTCTGTTTTAAGGAATTGCTGCTGACCAGTTTTTTTTTTTTCCCCCTTTAAAACTTGGATAGATTTCAAAAGTTTCAGTACCTTTGTTTGTGGCTTCATTGAATATTTATGAAGATAATGGCAGATCTAGGCAAAATTAACTGCATAACAAGAGAGTTTGTGTATTATGTTAGTCTATGAAAATGTGCAAATGTATTGTAGAGACTTTATAATTAGAACTGCATATATTTATGAGACTTGAAGATGAATGTTTTATCAAATTTGCTTTGATATATAGGTTTAGCACTGTCTTTTATTATATAGGCTTAGTAAAATATATACGAAAATAACCACCATGTTGTGAAAAAGTGACCAAAATCATGTACTGAATGCACAGCTTTATGTACCCTGTCCACCATCTTGTGCCTCTTCTCCATTTGCCTCTTTCTTCCCATTTCCCTTACCCTAAGGAAAAAAAAATTCACATTTGTAAAAGTAATTTTAATAGTTAATCACTGATGAGAGTAACATGACTCTAATTGTTGAAACTTAACCAAAATAAGATACTGTCTTAGCTAGGGCTTGTCCTGTGTGGTATTTAATAATAAGATAGGATTGATGGTTTCTCTTTAAGCAATTGAAGATGGACTGAAACTATAAAAATGGTCTCATACTGGGAAGATTTGTTTAAAACTTCCTTTTGCACAAAATAACCCACTTAGGACCTGAAAAGATAGGAGTTCTGGTCATGTATGTACGTTCAAGATAGATCTATCTTGAGAAAAAATAGAAATGGGCAGGAAAGAACTTGGTAAATACTACTCCAAATGTTTTCACTCCAGATTTGTGTTCTCTCTGGCAGAATAGACTTTTGGCGGACAAAAGATAGATATGGAAGTGCATTAAGTTTGAATAACTTTATGTAAGCTACATAGGGAGACCAGTTATCATTTGGTCTCAAGGACATTTACCCAATAGATCAACTCTTGCAAAATTCTTTGAGAATTTATTAGTAACAGAATCATGAACACATGGTAGAGTATACATGTACAATAATGGTAATTTTAATCTTAGTATTTTAGCTCACTTATTCTCCCAGAATTTTCTGTAAATTCTGCCATTTAGTTTGCAGAGGTTTAGTCATTCTTTAAAATTTTTTAAAATTTAGTTTTTAGTTTATTTGGTAAGGGAATCAGTATTGGAAATAATATTAAGATAATAGGAAAAGAGACCCACTAATATAGCTTATGATTATTAGATTTGGACTACTTTTAATCATGAAATAATCTTATGTATTAGTGTAAGATTTGATATGTGACTTTAGCTGTATGAATATATAGTTAAACTGCAAACATTTTGCATCCCTTTTGTGACCTAATTTACAGATATTTAAAATTGTGTTACAGTTCTGCTTTGCTGTTTAATAAAAAGCTATTTCAGAAAAAAAAAAAAAAAAGAGTGGGGCCTGGAATGGAAGAGAATTGAACTGGGAATGGTAGTGGGACTGCTGTAGCACTAATTGTAGACAGCTGATTGAAATGGGAGGGAACGACTGAGAAACACAATCCAGGGAGCATATCCCCTAACTTTCTTGCTGCATGAGATTTCTACTTTGCAAATTCCACCCTTTCCTTCATTTGTGTCCTTCTTTTCACACAATGATTTTTATGTTTTGAATGTGTTACATGTTATGCTAGATGCTGTGTGTGCACGACATGGTTCTTGACATGTCGTGTTAACAAGATTTTAAGAACATATATCTTCCCTCCCTAAACCAATGTTAAGTTTTATTGTGATGAGGACCATGAGTTTTTGTTTTTATTATTATTTCAAAAACTGTAGTCAATATGCGATAATCACCATTGATATGAAGAAGGAAAGCAATGGTTCTGGTTCTTAGATCCAGACAAATAATATAATAAGATATTATTGTTATCAGCCAATTATTATGGAATTAATTCTTGGAATTGTGAAAGACTTCAAAAAATGAGAACAATCCTTTGAGCTGAGGGTAGAAGTGTTTTGGAGATACACAAAAGATGTGTGGGAGGCTCAGGAGGTTGGAACTGCCTGTACAAAACACAGACATGGAGGACAAAGTGACAGGATCCGGGATGTGCCCATGTGCCAATACTGGTGAGTGACAGGTGAATGAAGGAAGAAGAGATGGTGCGAATGGACAGGTGCTGGATAGACATCTTTATTACCAAAGAGCTTAGGTGATGTGTTATGATCCAGGTTGATTGGAAAGATGGGTTCTGACTTGTTAAAAATATCTCCAGTAGTAATAGGATAGAGGATAGAGGGGATTAGTGGCATGTCTAAGCAGGGAAACTGGAAAGGAAGTGATTGCTGTTGCAACCATTTGTGGCAGATAATCCAGGAGCAATGAAGGTACAAGGAGAAAATACAGAAAGTAACATGATAAAATGGACAGACCTTGGTGTTTGAGTATGGGGGATTAAACAGAGAGAAAAAACAGGGACTTTGTCCTGTTCGTAAGTGTGCCTCCAGCACATCGAAGAAGGCTTTGTATCTAGGTATCCGGTAAGTATTTGTCAAAATGAACACATTTTTTTTTTTTAATTCAGGCAGGCCTATTAGTGTTTTAACAAGCACCCTAATGTAATTCTGACATAGGTGCTAAGAGGGAAAAGTTCAGGGAGCTCCTGCATTTCCCAGGGTAGCAAAATGGTTGCGTGCCAATCACAAACAGAAGAGAGGTAGGAAGGGAAGACAATGTGTTCATCTGTGGACCATCGAGGGACATACTTGTTATTTCTAGAAGAGCCAAACTCTAAGACATTATAAGGGAGTAAGGGGATAGAAAGGGAGGAGAAGATAAAGAATGCCAAATCAGACTTCAGAATCATAGAAAGAGGATTAGGTTAAGTAAGAGAGATGTTTTCAAGCTAAAAATTTTTGAAAGCATAGTTTGTCCAGAGAGTTCATGAGGACGAAAATTGACACAATCAATGTTCAGCTTTGGGGGACTCAGGAAAGAGTATCATCAGTGTTGGAAAATTAAGGACCCTTGTATTTTTTTAGGTTTGATCAGAAATTAAAGTTGCCTTACATTTTACATTGTTGTATATATGGTGGACTTCTGCTCTTTCTCTTTACCACAGAAAGAAAGGAAGCCTATGGAATGGTGATTTCAGTAGTAACAAATCTATTATTACTGAACAATAGCACCTAAATATGAAGATATCACTGTTAAAAATACTGACTTGGATCATCAGTTTTTAAACAGAACAGACAATTTCAAATTAATGGCTAATATTAATCATGATGTTTTAAAGGAATATGATTTTTTTCAATTAATAAACTTATACTGCATACATTGATGCATTATTTCTATATAAGATATGATGGGCAATAATTACCTCAGTGCATTCCCATATGTGGCCTAATTTAGCTGGTTCCAAGAAGTTTTGAGTGGTCACCCTCAAATATAATTAGTTTCAAAAAAAAAGCTGGATGAAACTCAAAGCTTTTTGGTTCAAGAGGGGCTTGAATTTAGTGTTTGAATGAGCACCCCACTGTTATTCTGACACAGGTGTTCAGAAGTCCTACTTGGAGGAACACTGTCTTAGAAAGCTCTCTGCAGCCTGCATTTCTTCTTCGTGGTGTTCTTGTGCCCTCAGCTGGTATGATGTAGTACTATGTGCCTCAGATTTCTCATTTTCACTGATTAGAAAATGAAAGTTCACTGTGTCTGCCTGTTATGTAGTCTTTATTTAATCCTGCTCTAAACCTATAAAATGCAGATTTTTGCTTTATTTTGAGAACTTTGAAGGAGTCTTTAGCTGAAGATGCCAAAAGATTTATCTGGTGGCAGTATTTTCATAGGCCAAGTGTTTATCCTTTCCTTGGGTTCTCCCTCTGAGTATCCTTAAGGATTCAGGAGATCTATTTTAGAACAAGGCATCCCCAGAGTCTGCGATGCTTATTTGAATTTTTTATTTGATAGTTTTTAGCTACTAGGAAGGACACCGCTAATACATATATAATGAAGGGCATGTAGAGTAAAAGGGTTAAAGGTAGGAATTCTTTCTTTCTCTGCTTCCTGTCTCCTGGCAGTCATTAAATAGATACTTGTTAAAATCGCACCAAAGAGTTTTTGTGGGTGATATAGTCCTAGCTGGGATATATTTTGTATAAATGAGGAAAGAAATTTATAACTTTGTAGCCTGTTACAAAGGGTTCATGCACTAAATACAGGACAAACTATGTTCAGAAGAAGTAAGGCTTCACCAGAGGGGTGAGAGGACCACAGCCATTCAGGAAATCCTAATGGAGGACATGTTATTTGAACTGGAAGCCCCCAAGAATGGCTTTTCTTTGGGAGCCTTTGTGCAACTGTGCTGTTGACTTATATATCATTCAATTTTATTTGTTCTTATTGTGTTTCTTTGATTCTTTTGTTCAATATGAATTATGTTCCAGGTATCCTGCTGAAGTGTGGGGATATGAAGTTGTGTAAGACTGACTTAGTCTCTATTTATATGGAACTCCCATTCTGGTAGTGAAGATAAGAAACAACTATATAAAAAAATAACAAAAGAAATACAAATTGAGATGAGATTTATGAAAGAAACAAGTAAAAAGCTGAGGTAGGAAATAGGAAATAACTTTGACGTGTAGGATAAGGACTATTTTGTAATATGGATGGTGAAAACCTTCCAGAGAAAAGTCAAGCTGCTGTGTCTTTTGTGTCCAATATTATTTTAATTGCTTCTCATGTATTAATCTGCTAATCTTCTCAATTCTTTTTTTTAAATGTTTATTTATTTTTTAGTTGTAGTTGCACAGAATACCTTTATTTATATGTGGTGCTGAGGATGGAACCTAGGGCCTTGCACATGCTAGGCGAGCGCTCTACACTGAGCCACAACTCCATTCTCAATTCTATTAGGGAATTAATTTTATTTTACCTGAGTAGCAGGTCAGAAAACTGAGGCACTAGGACATCAAACCAATTGACATAATTTATAAGTAGTGGAGATGGATACAGGTTTGCACTGCCAGGCTGTGGAGACCACTGTCAAGACAGAGCAAATAGCTGGCAGGAAGCCTCTAAGGCAGGAAGGCATTAGATGGTCAAGGCACTGGAAGAGGACATGTAGTGGGGAGCAGAGAGATGATGCAAGTAGCCTGGCTGTATTCTGAGAACCAGACCAGGGTCTGCTCCTAAAGGCCCTTTGAGAATATGGTAGGGAGTCTTGGATTTTATTCTAAGCATAGTGAAATGCCACAGGTGTGTTTTAAACAGGATTCCAACATAATCTCATAAACTTTTTAGGAGGTAATTCCTACTACAATGTGGAGAACGCACCGCAGGCAGGAAACCAGTTAAGAGGGCTCATTAGGGTTCAGGATAACATTGGGAAAGTGTTCTGCATCCTCAGATGTGGTGGGAGCTGATAACCTACA